AACATCTCCCCTCTTATAAGACTAAACCTGGGTGTATGATTTGGCTTTGGGATCCAAGACAAGTCTTCGTGGCTGGACTCTCCGACGGATGGGCCTGACTGGCGTTATGTCCGGAGCTGTTTCCAATTCGGGTTCGTGGTCTTCTTGTGGGGGGGCCGGAGGGCTGAACTGAGGTTCTGGCGGGTCCCGATCCCGGTTAGGCTCGTGGAAGATCCAATCGTCCGAGACCGGGGAGTTTGGAGCTCTCGGGGTGTCGCCTCCCTCCCAAATGTGGTTGATGTGACGCTCGACCGACTTGCCATTATCTAGGTGTACTCGATAGCGTGAATTTGATAGAACGTTTACGATGTATCCTTGTTCGCGTCTATCTTTTAGTGCGACGACGACTCGGTCTCCAGGTTTAAGAGTTCTTGGGCGGGTTCCGTGGTGCTGATCAAACTGCTTCTGCATCTTGCGCTGCCCTAGAATGAGGTCGGTCGGAGGAACGGTTTGGTCTGGAAGTTTAGGGAGGAATTTAGAGAAAGGTGAGATAATTCTTCTCCCGAAAAATAGTTCCGCCGGTGACTTTCCCTCCGGGGCTGCGGAACACGGGGTGTATCTGTAACTGTACAGGAAGTCTTGGAGTTCTTTCTTCCAGTTGGCTGTGTCCTTGGCGATGGCTCTTTTGATTGAGTCGACCATTCTCTCCGCCTGGCCATTAGACTGGGGGTGGTTTACAGCGGATAAGATATGTGTAATTTGCATTTCTCTACAAAATTTCGCGAAGATGTCTGCAGTAAATTGTGTTCCGTGGTCACTAATTAGAACTTCGGGGGGCCCGTACCTGGAAAAGGTCTCTCGGCATAGTTCGACCGTGCGGATAGCCGATATGGTGGGCGTGATTGCTACGTCGATGAACTTTGAGTATGCGTCAACGAAAACAAGTATGTATTGGCCGTCGATTGGTCCCGCGTAGTCCACATGTAGGCGTTCGAGAGGTTTAGAAGGGATTGGCCACGGGCTGATAGGGACCTTGATTGGTAGTTTCCTTGTCAGTGAACAAGGGTCGCATCGTTTCACGAGGCGTTCGATATCTTCGGAGAGTTTTGGCCAGTATACGTACTCGCGCGCTAGCTGCTTCATTCGTCTGATCCCTGGGTGACCCTTATGGAGGGATGACAGGATGCTGGACTGCATACTTTGAGGTATGACTACCCTGTCTCCTAGCAATAAAGTGTTGTCAACGATTGACAGACAGTCCCAACGCTTCTTGTAATGTTCTACCGTCGGTGAGTTTGATGCCGGAACTTTATTTTCCCGGATGGCTTCTATGATTGTCGCGAGGTCTGGGTCCGCGCCCGTAGCCGTCTTTAACTTAAAGCGGAGGTCTTCGCCGAATCTGTCGATGGATAGATTTCTGATTTGTAGAACTTCGTCTTCTATGAGGCGGATGCTGGCGACTTGGAGTTCTTCGAGGTTGTCTTGACGGAATTTCTCTATTAGGCGAGACAGGGCATCTGCTT